GTGAGAGAGGGATGAGGAGAGGAGGTGGGGGGAGCCACGCGGCGAACCCCTCTTACGAACCCCCATTTCACAAAGGGGGGGGGTGAGAGAGGGATGAGGAGAGGAGGTGGGGGGAGCCACGCGGCGAACCCCTCTTACTAACCCCCGTTTTACAAAGGGGGGAGGGTGAGAGAGGGAGGAGAGGAGTTGGGGGGGAGCCTAGCGCGGCGAGCCCCTCTTACTAACCCCCTACTTCCTCGCCCCCTTTCAGCCACCCCCCTCAACCTCACCCCCCTTGTCAACCGCCCCCTGGAACCTCGCACCTTCCCCCCCACCCTTCCTCCAACGCCTTCCCCACCCACGGTGGTCCCTTCTCAAGCCTTCACACAGCGTCCAAAAGCCCGCCACCCCCTCACCCTCCCCCCCACAGCGGCACGTGCGGCAGTGAGAGAGAGAGAGGAGGAGGGGCGGCAACTGGGTGCTCACACCCGCCCACCCAAAAGTGAAGAATGAGGAATAAATGAACTAGCAAGCAGGTGGGTAAAAGTAGGAAACCCTAGTAAACTGTACCCCATAGTGTCTACCCCACAATAGCCTACACAAGCTATAAAATATGAGTTTGACACACCCCCATAGGCAAAGTGGGGGAGAACAAGAGGTCACAAGACCAGTCAAGCGAAGCAAAGCAAGCTCAGGGTGGATCACAACGTCACCACACATTCCAAGCACAAGTTCAAGGCCACAAGGCCAGTTCACATGCAAGATCATATATAAAGGTAAACAAGCAAGAGCAGGTATAGAAAGATTATAGTACAAGCAAGGTCAAGAAGTGAGCAAGTGAGGCCAAGTAGGCACAAGACCTAACATCGTACAGAAGCGCTCATGATCACAAGGCGGAACTGCCTCGGTAAAGATATCAGCAGTGTTGGCCTCAGAGGCCACATAAGCAAGGCGCAGCTAACCACGCTACTCCAGCTCACGAGCAAGGAAGTAGCGAAGAGCAATGTGCTTCGTTCTGTGCTCCAGTCTGTGCTCCCGACACAAGGCCAGCATGGCCTTGTTGTCTACGTACAAAACTGGAGGAGAACGAGGCGACTCTCCTATGTCAGTCAGCAGGTAGGTGAGCCAGCGTAGCTCGTGTGCAGCCATGGCCCCCGCGTAGATCTCAGCCTCACAGCTCGATGTGAGAACAGAAGACGAGCGGGTAGACCGCCACAAATCAGAGCCGAAGCCAAGGCTTAAGGTGTAACCCTGTGACGACCGCTGTGTAGCCTGGTCGTCAGCCCAAGAAGCGTCTGCGTGACCTGTGAGGACCACTCAACGTCGCCCTCCAAGCACTAGCCCCATGCCCGACGTACTGCACAAGTAGCGCAACACCCTCCTCCCTGCAGCCATGTGCTTTGGACGGTGTCAGCCAGGAGCAACATAGCGTGCCAAGATGCTAAGAGATTATGCAAGGTCACGTCGTGTGCAGGTCATCAGGTACATGAGGCAGACAACAAGCTCTGGGTATGGGCCACTCGGCTCTACGGACTCATCCGAAGGCAGAGCTGAGAGCGAGTGGCGAGTAGGCAGAGGAGTGGCCTGAGGCGAGGAGTACGTGAAGTCGAAGCGCTGAAGGACCTGCTGCACCATGTGTGACTGAGTCAGGGTAATGGTGCGCTGTGCTCTGTCCCGGGTGATCTGCAAGCCAAGGTAGCTGTGCAGTTCACCCAGGTCTGTGCACGTGTGTCTCTTTTGCAGCTCGGACTTCACGTGGGCGAGTCCAGCAGTGTCAAAAGTGGCAAAGACCAAGTCGTCAATGTACACGAGGATGTAGAACGGCGGCAAAGAGGTGTCGGTGCGCAGAAACAGCAACGGGTCGGCAGTAGAAGGAGCAAACCCAAGAGCCGCAAGTGTAGTCCTCAGTGTGTCGTGCCACTTACGGGGCGCCTGGCGGAGACCGTAGACTGGCCGTCGGAGGCTCCACTGGGTGCCAGGAGGGAAAGTCCCAGTGAAGCCAGGTGGACGGCGCAGCCAGATCTCCTCGTGCAAGCTGCCCTGCAAGAAAGCAGTGCTAAAGTCAAGAGAGTGAAGCTCGTAGTCGCGCTGAGCGGCTATGTGCAGCAGCACCCAAAGAGTGGTCATCTTCGGGGTGGGAGAGAAGGTCTGAAAGTAGTCAACTCCCTGCCGCTGACTGAAGCCTCGAGCCACGTAATGCACCTTGAAGACAGACGGAGAACCCGACGGCCGCTTCACCCTGAAAATCCACATGCCACTGACGATGTTTGCCCCAGGTGGGAGAACCTCGTCGACGTAGGTGCCTGTGGACTTCTAGGAAGCCATCTCTGCATCCATGGCTGACTGCCACTGAGAGGAGTAGGGACCCTCGATCGCCTCAGCATACGATCGAGGAGTCGGGATGTCTGGTGCATCCGGGTCTCCCTCAGGGGCAATCAGCGTGGACACGAGATGAGGCAAAGCAGCAGCAAAACACTGGAACTCCTCCAGCCTGTCCCCAAGGACGTCCGTGCTAAGAGCACACTCACCCCCGACAGACGAAGGACAGACAGACTCAGACTCAGCAACAAGACTAGTGGCGTAGTCTAGATGACAGCGAGCAGCGAAGTCGACAAGCTCAACAACCAAGGCAGACGCAGCAGTGGACTCAAAGGAAGGGTCAGTGACAACAGTGGCCAGGAGACGCGTGACAGTAGGACTAGCAGCACGAAGAGAGTAAGACTTGGGGTCAGCAAGAACAGGAAGAGAGGACTCTGGAGGAGACGGCAACGGGACACGCAGAGGAGCAGTGGAAGGACGCAGCGCCATCTGGTGTGTGCTTGGGACCGCAGGAGGACGCGGACGCGGAGCACGACCACTAGTGCGAGCAGCACGAACAGGCGACGCAGGACGAGACGCAGGCTCACGACGCTCAGCAATACCTCTAGTAGGACCAGTGTAGGGAGAAGGAGCAGGCAGGGGGGAGGCGGGGTGTAACTGTGACTGCGACTGGACAGGCTGTGGACACTCTTAGGGAGGAGCAAGACCAGTAGAGGGCGGGAGACCAAGAACCTGCTCAAGGAGCGGAACGAAGTACGGCCTCGGCCGCGCAGCTCCGCCAGAACCAGCAGGGACAGCACCAGTACCCCCAGCGGCAGCACCAGCGCTAGCAGCACCTCCAGCTCCAACAGCGCCAACTCCAGCACCCTCAAACGCACCAGCACCAGCAGAAATACCAGCGCCAACACCCCCAGCAGCTCCAGCTCCAGCAGCACCGGCAGCTCCTGTACCGCCAGCAGCTCCACCAAGACCAACTCCAGCAGCCCCAGCAGCATCTCCAGTCCCAGTAGCTCCAGTACCTCCAGTACAAGCACCTCCGGGACCAGCAGCAATAGTATTACCTCCAGCTCCACCAGCACGGCTCCAGCGCCGCGCAAACCACTCGCGCAGCTCCTGTGGAGAGAGTGGCTCCCGCCTCGACGAAGCACCACCAGCGGCCACACGAGCAGACCCAGCGCCCCCAAGCTCCGCACCCCCAGGATCCGCACCCCCTGACTCAGCACCCCCAGGCTCAGCACCTCCAGACTCAGCACCCCAAGGCTCAGCACCCCCAGACTCAGCACCCCCAGGCTCAGCACCCCCAGACTCAGCACCGCCAGACCCGGCACCCGCAGGCTCAGCAGCTCTAACGGCACCAGAGTCAACAGTTACCTCCACAGGCTCGACTGCGTCTACCTAGGACACACCTGACGGGGCAGGACCCTAAGGGGGGAGGGGGTCTACCGGGGGAGGACCTGGCGCAAGGAAGAGCGAGGGCAGGGGAAGGGGCGCAGTGCTGAAGGGGAAGAGACGGTAGTAAGGTACCGACTAGTCAAAGGTGACGTCCTGGGAGGATAGAACACGGCGCGAGGTGGGGTGGTAAAACTGCCAACCAGGCGCGTCAGGGGGGAAGCCAAGGAAGACGCAAGGAACAACACGGAGAGACAGCTTGTCCGCAGACAAGTCGCGGACAAACGCCCGAGATCCCCAGACCCGAAACGCAGACGCATCGCCAACCTTCCCGGTCCGCCGCAAGGCGGGGGAGGTCTCTGGCAAGGAGACCTGAGGCTGAAGGTTGAGCTGATGCGCGGCGTACGGAACCGCAAACGGCCACAGAAAATGGGGGGCAGCCGCATGCATCATGGAGTACGAGCGACATCCATGAGCATGCCAATGCGGCGCTCAGCAATCCCATTTTGTTGTGGAGGGGCCGGAAGCGTGAAGGTCTAGTGGATGCCCTGTGCACGACAGAAGGCTCCCAGACGGGCAGAGCAAAACTCCCTGCCTCTGTCAGAGTGCAGACGCAGAACAGGAATGTCCGAGCCGAAACTCTCCCTGAGCTGGAGACGAGCTGCGCGGATCCAGTCGATCAACACCTCAGTGACGTCACCCTTGCTGCGCAAGGGGAAGACTGTGGTGTAACGCGAGTAGTCGTCAACCACCAACAGGAAATAGCGCTCGTGCCCCTGTCCACGGACGCGGGCCGGGCCCCACACGTCCATGTGGAGAGTCTGTAGCGGAGCCTCTGTCGGAGGAAACTCGGAGGAGTGAGGGGCGGCGCGCTGTCGCCCCTTGACGCAGGGGACGCAGGTAGGGCCAGGCCCCAGAGGTAGGGGAGGGAGAGACCAGGGGAGACCAGAGACAAGGACACGGGAGATGATGCCTCGAAGACGAGGCAGGGAGGGGTGACCAAGGCGGTGGTGCCAAAGGAGAGTCTGGTGGGAGAGGAGACGACACGAGCAGGGAGCAGACTCAGGACCAGACCTGGACGCTGCAGCAAACACCTGACTCGACGCAGCTACCTTGCCAGACTAAGCAGCCGGAGGAGACTCTCTAGTAAGGGTGTACAGGCTCGACCCTGGCCGACGGGTGAACGTGGCCAAGTATCGGCCTGCCCGAGCACATGTAGAGTCGGTCACTCGGTGACTCGCAGGAGTGAACTGCAGGCGGCCGAAGCAGTGCTGGGTGGAGTGCGGGCCCTATCCTGTAGGTCCGCTCAACCTTCAGCCTTCCTTGGTGGAGTGGAGTGCGTGGAGCGGACCTACAGGATAGGGGGTGCTGGGTGGAGGACGGAACTCGCAGGCGGCCGAAGCAGTGCTGGGTGGAGTGCGGGCCCCCGCACTGCTCACCAGCTCGGTCGCCGGTACGGAGGACGTAAGTGGCCGTTATTGGGCACCCAGTAATTGGTGAGTGGAGCGGACCTACAGGATAGGGGGTGCTGGGTGGAGGACGGAACTCGCAGGCGGCCGAAGCAGTGCTGGGTGGAGTGCGGGCCCCCGCACTGCTTACCAGCTCGGTCGCCGGTACGGAGGACGTAAGTGCAGGGACTAGTACCCCCACCGCGCTGACGCGCAGCGTACCACTCACGAAGCTGCTGAGGGGACAGGGTCTCACGACCGCGCTGCTGCTGCTGGCGCGGACCACCACCGGACCCACTCCTCTGCGCAGAGTCGCAACCCGCTCCACAGCCGCCGCCGCCGCCGCCTTCGCCACCTCCGCCTCCTCCGCCACCTCCGCCACCTCCGCTCCCTTTGCCACCACTACCTCCTCCTCCGCCTCCACGGCTTCCACCGCCGCCGCCACCCCCGCCACCACTCCCACCACCACCCCCACTCCCTCCACTGCCTCGACCATTACCTCCACCGCCCCCACTAGCCCCTCCAACTCCCTTGCCCCCCTTGCCCTTGCTGATGCGGCGTCTCCCGCTAGGGGCAGACGCGGCGCCGACCCCGTAGAAACCAACGAGGTCGGCAGCGCCAACAGAAGCAGAAGAGGGCAAGAGGGGGGAGGGGGAACACCCCCCAAAGACGGGGGTGCGAGGGTCACCACGAGAGGCTCCTACAGCTACTATGCTCTTCTCTACTGCTAGGAGGCACTCCTCGAGGAGGTCAACGGTGAGAGTGGTGGGGCAAACTGAGAGGAAGTGGTCCCTGACTAAGCGAAGAGAGTCAGGGAGCCGGGTGACTATGTAGTAGAGGGTGATGTACATGGGGGGGGGGGGGGGGGGGTTCTTGGTGCAGAACTCAGCAGGAAGCGCAGTGTGGTAGCGAGTGTCACTAGTGCGGAGGTGCGTAATGAGGTCAGCGACTGTGGGAAAGGCAGCAAGGTCAGGGAAGAGGTACGGTAGCATGAGGCGGCTCAGTGCAGCAGTGGCAGGGGAAGAGTAGCGTGCAACTACAGCGTCGTACCAGGTCTGAGCACTCTTGTACTGGCTAAAGTGTGCACGCTCAATGGTCGGTAAGTGGCGACGCACAGCAAGACGGGCAGCAGCATCGCGTGTCGCCCACAGTGAGCGAACAGTGCTCTCAGCAGTAGCAGGCGGGGCAGGGGAGGCACCAGAAATGAGGTCGAACAGAAAGAGGTCGTCTGCCCTATTGCACTGGAGGAACAGCTGGAGGTCATCGACCCAGACCTCAAAGTCAACAGCGCGACCCTCAATGTCAAAGGTAAGAACACTGGGGGTAGCCATGACTGCAGAGGTCTAGCAAGGAGTGAGCTCACCAGCACGAGTAAGTAGGGCCGGGGCGCGCCGGTAGGACTGGTAGCAGCTCGACGGCAGGGCGGCTCGGCGGCTCAGGTGCTCGGCTGCTGGGCGGCTCGGCTGTCGGGCGGCTCGGCGGCTGGGCGACTCGGCGGTCGGGCGGCTCGGCGATTCGGCAGCTGGGCGGCTTGGCGGTTTGGCTGCTTGGCGGCTCGGCTGTCGGGCGGCTCGGCTGCTGGGTGGCTCGGCGGCTCTGCTGCTGGGCGGCTTGGCGGCTCTGCTGTTGGGGTGCTCGGTAGAGGCGGCGTCGGGGCCGCTAGGGGCAGCGACGGGGCCGCTTAGGGAGGGGAGCGGCGACGGGGCCGTGTCGTGGCGGCGATGGGGCCGCGTAGGACGCGGCGTCGGGGCCGCTTAGGGGCGGCGATGGGGCCGCTTAGGAGCGGTAGCGGGGCAGCTTGGGGGCGGAGATGGGGCCGCGTAGGGTGAGAGGCGGCAACGGGGCCGCTAGGGGCGGCGACGGGGCCGCTAGGGGCGGCGACGGGGCCTCTTAGGGGCGGCGACGGGGCCGCTGAGGGTGAGAGGCGGAGACAGGGCTGGTAGGGGCGGCGACGGGACCGCTAGGGGCGGCGACGGGGCCGAGTATGGGTGGCGACGGGGCCGCGTAGGGTGAGAGGCGGCGACGCGGCCGCTAGGGGCGGCGACGAGGCCCCTAAGGGCGGCGACGGGGCCGCGTAGGGGCGGCGACGGGGCCACCTAGGGTGAGAGGCGGCGACGGGGCCGCTAGGGGTGGCGACGGGGCCGCTAATGGCGACGTTGGGGCCGCGTAGGGGCGGTAACGGGGCCGCGTGAGGGGCGGCGACGAGGACGCTAGGTGCCACTAGGGGCCTGGAAAGGGTGGCGAAAGGCGCGCCTCGGGCAGGAGCGACTGACGCTCCGGTCAGAAGGGAAATTTTCAGTGGTGGGCCCAAGGAAGCGTTCCCACTAGGGAACCTACTCTATACCATGTGAAGAATGAGGAATGAATGAACTAGAAAGCAGGTGGGTACAAGTAGGAAACCCTAGACGATCACGCATTTACCTAAGAGTGGGCGGAAGGCTTCGTTCATGATCATTTGGAAAGTGGCAGGGGCGTTGGTCAGTCTGAAAGGCATCACGGTGTATTCGAACCGTAGCGGGTGCGAAAGGCGGTTTCAGGGCAGTCAGGTGGGTTTATGTCGGATCTGATGGCAACCCCCTCGAAGGTCGATCTTCGAGAAGACCCGGGCTATACGAAGTTACTCAATGAGGTAACGCGAGATGGGGTAACGGGACTTACTCGTAACCCTGTTATGTGCGCGGTAATCTATGAGCATGCGAATGACGAGAAGTGAGAATGGATGAATGAACTATGAAAGAGTTGGGTACAAGTACTAACCCTAATTGGGTTGTACCCCATATGGGCTATCCCACTACAGCCTACACAAATGTATAAGCTATAATGTTCTGACACACCCCCATAGGCAAAGTGGGGGAGAACAAGTGGTCACAAGACCAGTCAAGCAAAGCAAAGCAAGCTCAGGGTGGATCACAAAGTCACCACACAGTCCGAGCACAAGAGTAGGGCCACAAGGCCAGTTCACATGCAAGAACATATATATAAAGGTAAAACAAGCAAGGGCAGGTATAGAAAGAATACAGTACAAACAAGATCAAGAAGTGAGCAAGTGAGGCCAGGTAGGCACAAGACCTAACACAGTACAAAAACGCTGACGATCACAAGGCGGAAGGGCCTTGGTGAAGATATCAGCAGTGTTGGCCTCAGAGGCCACGTAAGCAAGGCGCAGCTGACCACGCTGCTGCAGCTCACGAGCCAGGAAGTAGCGGAGAGCAATGTGCTTCGTTCTGTGCTCCAGTCTATGCTCCCGACACAGGGCCACCATGGCCTTGTTGTATACGTACAGAACTGGAGGAGAACGAGGCGGCTCTCCTAGGTCAGTCAGCAGGTAGGTGAGCCAGCGTAGCTCCTGTGCAGCCATGGCCCCCGCGTAGATCTCAGCCTCACAGCTGGAGCTGAAAACAGAAGACGAGCGGGTAGACCGCCACGAAACAGAGTTGGAGCCAAGGCTGAAGGTGTAACCCTGTGACGACCGTTGCAGAGCCTGGTTCTCAGCCCAAGAAGCGTCTGCGTGACCTGTGATGACCACTCGATGTCGCCCTCTAAGCACTAGCCCCATGCCCGACGTACTGCGCACGTAGCGCAACACCCTCTTCGCTGCAGCCATGTGCTCTGGTCGGTGTCTGCCAGGAGCAACATAGCATGCCAAGATGCTAAGAGGGTATGCAAGGTCAGGTCGAGTGCAGGTCATCAGGTACATGAGGCAGCCAACAAGCTCTGGGTATGGGCCACTCGACTCTGCGGACTCAGCCGAAGGCAGAGCTGAGAGCGAGTGGCGAGTAGACAGAGGAGTGGCCTGAGGCGAGGAGTACGTGAAGCCGAAGCGCTGAAGGACCTGCTGCACCATGTGTGACTGAGTCAGGGTAATGGTGTGCTATGCTCTGTCCCGGGTGATCTACAAGCCAAGGTAGCTGCGCAGTTCACCCAGGTCTGTGCACGTGTGTCTCTTTGCAGCTCGGACTTCACGTGGGCGAATCCAGCAGTGTCAGCTGTGGCAAAGACCAAGTCGTCGACGTACACGAGGATGTAGAACGGCGGCAAAGAGGTGTCGGTGCGTAGAAACAGCGACGGGTCGGCTGTAGAAGGAGCGAATTCAAGAGCCGCAAGTGTAGTCCTCAGTGTGTCGTGCCACTCACGGGGCGCCTGGCGGAGACCGTAGACTAGCCGCCGGAGGCTCCACTGGGTACTAGGAGGAAACGACCCAGTGAAGCCAGGAGGGCGGTGCAGCCAGATCTCCTCGTGCAGGCTGCCCTGCAGGAAAGCTGTGCTGAAGTCAAGAGAGTGAAGCTCGTAGTCGCGCTGAGCGGCTATGTGCAGCAGCACCCGAAGAGCGGTCATCTTCGGGGTGGGAGAGAAGGTCTGAAAGTAGTCAACTCCCTACCGCTGACTGAAGCCTCGAGCAACGTAACGCGCCTTGAAGACAGGCGGAGAGCCCGGCGGCCGCTTCACCCTTAAGATCCACATGCCACTGACGATGTTTGCCCCAGGTGGGAGAACCTCGTCGACGTAGGTGCCTGTGGACTTCCAGGGAGCCATCTCTGCGTCCATGGCAGACTGCCACTGAGAGGAGTAGGGACCCTCGATCGCCTTAGCGTACGATCGAGGAGTCAGGGATGTCTGGTGCATCCGGGTCTCCCTCAGGGGCAATCAGCGTGGACACGAGATGGGGCGAAGCAGCCGCAAAGCACTGGAACTCCTCCTGCTTGTCCTCAAGGACGTCCGTGCTAAGAGCACACTCACCCCTGACGGACGGAGGACATACAGACTCAGACTCAGCAACGAGACTGGCACCGTAGTCTAGACAACAGCGAGCAGCGAAGTCGACAAGCTGAGAACCTAGAGGAGACGCAGCAGTGGACTCAAAGGAAGGGTCAGTGACGACAGTAGCAAGAAGGCGCGTGACCGAAGGACTAGCAGCACGAAGGGAGTCAGACTCCGGGTCAGCAAGAGAAGGAAGAGAGGACTCTAAAGGAGACGGCAACGGGACACGCAGAGGAGCAGTGGAAGGACGCAGTGCCATCAGGTGTGTGCCGGGGACCGCAGGAGGACGCGGACGTGCAATACGACCACTAGTGCAAGCAGCACAAACAGGCGACGCAGGACGAGACGCAGGCTCACGACGCTCAGCAGGACCTCCAATAGGACCAGTGTAGGGAGAAGGAGCAGATAGAGGGGAGGCGGGCTGTATCTGTGACTGCGACTGGACAGATTGTGGACACTCTAAGGGAGGAGCAGGACCAGTAGAGGGCGGGAGACCAAGAACCTGCTCCAGGAGCAGAACGAAGTACGGCCTCGGTCGCGCAGCGCCTCCAGAACCAGCAAGGACGGCACCAATACCCCCAGCGGTAGCACCAGCGCCAGTAGCACCCCCAGCTCCAACAGCGCCAGCTCCAGCACCCCCAGGAGCACCAGCGCCAGCAGCATCGCCAGTGCCAACACCCCCAGTAGCTCGAGCTCGAGCAACACCAACTCCAGTAGGACCGTCAGCACCAGCTGCCCCAGCAGCACCACCAGACGCACCAGCACCAGGAGAAACACCAGCGCCAACACCCCCAGCAGCTCCACCTCCAGCAGCACCAGCACCGACAACAGCTCCAGCAGCACTCCCAGACTTAGCAGCACGTCTCTAGCGGCGGGCGAACCACTCGCGCAGCTCCTGTGGAGAGAGCGGCTCCCGCCTCGACGAAGCACCGCCGGCAGCCACACGAGCAGACCCAGCACCCCCGGGCTCTGCACCCTCATGCTCAGCACCCCCAGGCTCAGCAACCCCAGACTCAGCACCACCAGGCTCAGCACCCCCAGTCTTAGCACCCCCAGACTCAGCACCCCCAGACCCGGCACCCGCAGACCCGGCACCTGGAGGCTCAGCACCTCTAGCAGCACCAGAGTCAACAGTTATCTTGACAGGCTCGACTGCGTCTACCTGGGACACACGTGAAGGGGCAGGACCCTGAGGAGGGAGGGGGTCTACTTGGGTAGCACCTGGTGCAAGGAAAAGCGGCGGCGGGGGGAGGGGCGCAGTGCGGTAGGGGAAGAGACGGTAGTAAGGCACCGACTCGTCAAAGGTGACGTCATGTGGGGACAGAAGACGACGCGTGGTGGGGTGGTAAAACCGCCAGCCAGCCGCGTTAGGGGGGAAGCCAAGGAAGATGCAAGGAACAGCACGGGGGGACAGATTGTCCGCAGACAAGTCGCGGACAAACTCACGAGATCCCCAGACCCGAAACGCAGACGCATCGCCAACCTTCCCGGTCCATCGCAAGGCGGGGGAGGTCTCTGGCAAGGAGAACCGGGGCTGAAGGTTGAGCTGATGCGCGGCGTACTGAACCGCAAA